CCTCCACTCAGTGCCAAGCCCAGCCCCTGACCAGGCAGCCAGGCCACTCTCCTGGCCCGCTCTCCCTCTTGCTTTCTGACTCCACCAGCAGCCTACCTCCCTCTCCCTCTGCCGACTTTCATGTACTGAACATGCAGGTCTGAGTTTTTCTGTCAGCCTAACCGCATCCGGACTCTATTAAAGTTCCTGGCTCGGGATAAACAATGCAACTGTCGCGTGCAGCAGTCTGAAAATAATTGGATTAGCTAAAACATATCAACTAAATAGAGACAGTCCTACCCAGGCAGTCGGAGTGAATGTCACCCTGGAAAAAAACCTGAAAACTGATCTCATGGTCACTGGGTGCCCAGAGCCCTCCCTCTCAAGTTTTCTAAACCGGGGTTTTGCCAGTTCTGTTTCAAGACTGCTCATCTCGCCCATAAAAAACAAGTAGTTTTCACCACTTCTTTGTATATAGAAACTCCATAGACGGAGGACAGAGGCAAGACAGTAGGAATGGACCGGGACAGTCACCCACCCTGAAATGGACACACCCACCACACAACAGTCTTCACAGAATCATCTCTAAAAACATAACTGAATCTCATCTCAGTGAATCCCAAGCTTTCTGATTCAACTGCTTTGGTTAGAAATAAAATTGGTGGTAGATTCTTTCTTTCTTTTAAATTATTTTGTGTGGGTTGGGAGGTGGTGGACATTAATGCAAGTGTTTACACCAGGAAAATAAATAAATAGTGCGCTGTTAAGACAGGGTGTGTGCTTTTTGGAGAGAGGATGAGCAGAGGAAGCACAGGCACACACCTGAGATCTGTTGCAGTCCTTCCCACCTCCTCTGGCTTCAGATCCATCCGGGACTCTGTCCTGAGACACTGGCCTGCCCCTGCCCGGGCTGCAGGTACCTGGCCCTGTCTGCTTTTGATTTACACGCAGCCGTTTCCCGAGGACAGAGCCTCCCTTGCTGTCCCAAAAGTTACCATGAGGACCCCCTTTTCCACGCAATGAATATGTGGGCTGCTTTTGCAGCGTCACGCCCAGTGCAAAAAAGATATATACACTTTATTTACACATGTCTGTATAAAGGGCTGTCCTCTGCTGACTGAATGACCCCGGTAGAGCTGGGCGGAGAGGAACAGTCAAAAGAACTCAGAGGCCAGGAAGGGTCAGAGGAGGGACCTGTGTTTGTTTAGGTTTCAGGAGGTTTCGTTTTAGCATTAAACACTAAAGAGTTATTCCCTCGCCTTCCATTTGGTCTTGGAAACTGACTGAAGGTTACTTGGAGAGCCGTCAGCCTCCCCCAACCCCCCAGCAGGCAGGCAGGGGAGGGTTTGTGTTTGTGTTTGTCTCTCTCCTTTCTCAGCCCATTGGGGGGTTCAATTAGATCCCACTGCCACTCTGCTCTGAAGACTGACTGAGAGGGGGCACACCTCGTTCTTTGCGGCTGTTAGAATGGAAAGAAATCACATCTCAGAGGGGTCTGGGGCAGCACCCAGTGGAGCCAGCCTGGGTTCCCCTTTCCTTACCCCGGATTTAGGAGAAGGAAGAGGCAGAGGAGGAGGAGCGACCCCAGGGGAGAGCAGGCGCCTACCTGTGCTGGATCTCGCCTTGGGCCTCGACTTGCACCCAAAGCCGGTGGGAGAGCCCCCGAGCAGGGTGCTAGGAGGGAAGAGTCCGGAGCTGTATTCTGGGACGTAGGGCGGGTAGGTGGTGATGGGGTGGTGCGCCGAGGATGCTGCCCCTCCCAGGGTGGTCATGCTGCCCCGCGAGTGTGAAGACTCCAGCTTCATGCTGTCGGGCAGCGGCACCTGGTACTTGATACATTCCTTCTCATCCTGCCGGCCTGAGCCCGCCGAGCCGGGCGTGGACAGGGACGGGTCCGGGGAGACGTCCTTCGGCGGGGTGGGCGGAAAAGTGAAGAGGTGCGGGCTGGAGTGGCCCGCCGACAGGGAGGAGGACGAGGCTGGGGGATAGACCGAGAGAGGCCCCGGGGAGCCGTGGTGGATGGACGTCTTGGAGAAGGGGCTGAGGTTCCAGGGCGAAGCGGTGTGGTGGCTGCCCAGGGCTTTGCCACCGTCCAGCCAGGGCAGGGATCCGTGCAGCAGCGGTGGGCGACACACCTGGCTCCCTGCGGGAAAGGGCAGGAGGCAGAAAGGCTGGTGAGAACAGCCCGGAGGCCCTCGGATTCCCCTCCACCCCAGTCTCCCTGACAGGAAAATCCCAAACACAGACCGGACCTGGGTGCAGGCCCACTCTCTCTAATCCAGGTGGTGCCCCGAGTACCTTGGGCAGCACACACTTCATCCCTCCCTCCCACACAAATGTCCCATCAAAGCCCAAAGCATGAAGGGCCTGTATCTGACACACAAGAGGTGCTGAGATGGAGTGAAGAAGGGCCCCTTGGCTTATTGGCCTCTCCAGATACACTTTCTAAATCACATCCCCTGCGGTCCCTCTCTAGAACCTGACTTGATTTATTGGCTTCCTTCAATGGCCGGGGTCCCCCATCCTAGACCTAATCCCAGCCAGCCTGATAAGAGTCAGCTGTGAGTGATGAGGCCTGAAGGGGTGAGCCTGGCCTCACCACTCAACACCAGGAAAATCCACTGGCCTGGAGAGAGGCCAGCTGCAGTGCCCAGCTCCCCGTGCCCAGAGCAGGAAGGAAAGGGCTGGGAAGAGAGGAGAGGGGAGCTTCTTAGGGTCCCTTGCAGGTAACCCTACTTCAGTGCTTGCTCATAATTGGCAAGGCCTGATACGGGATTTGCAGGGAAACTGTAAGTGTTCAGACTGCTGGAGAAAGTTCTCAAGGCTGTGCCCTGGGATGCCTTTCTCACCCTCCCCAATCCTGTAGAAGAAAATAAATTAAGGTCCAGATGCCCTCCAAGTTGTCCCTCACACAGTGTGATAAGTGAATGTTCACCTGAGCTCCTGATACACACAATTCCAGCTCATGTGTATGTTTCGCTCACACACGGCTGAAGGTAGCCATAACCCAGACAAGTCCATACATCCACTCTGAGAGGGGGGAATTTAAACTGCAAGTTCAAATCCACACACACCTTAATCTTTTAATCCAGGGCCTGCCTCAGCGTTTGACGTTCTATTTTAACCATTAAGAACAATACTGAAACTAAAATCTTAAGAGGGAGGAAGGGGAGGAGAGAGGAGGGGAAGGAGAGTTCTCTGAACACCAAGGGTCAAGATTCAGATTATGCAGGAAGTAGTATAGTAAATAGTATGAAGTCTGCATCCACGCATTTCCACTGAACTGCTGATCTGCACCGAACAAGGGCAAAGAGCGCCCCATCCGCAGAAACAATGGTTGAAACGTGGTGACAGCAGGGCGGAGGACGCCTGCTGCCGGAGGGGCTCTGTCATCTCCGCCAACCCCGGCACTGAGAGAGCCTGGCGCGTGTGAAACTTTGCTATTTCTTCTTTAAAAACCACCCTTGCTGCTGGCAAGCGCTAGTGCCCCCTCCCCACCCCCAACCCCAACTACACAGGGCTGGGTTTCCTTTTAGCATTTCAGAACTCCCAAACTTCTCAAGGTGAAAGAGAAAGGAAAAACAAAGTTAAGGCAACTGTAATCGCTCCTCCATAAAAAAAGAAACCCTGGTGGATCCTCAACCTTCTTTGGGAGCCTCAGGGACTGTTGTAGGCCGGGGGAGACGGGAAGGCCGTCGTTGCGGGGAGCAGCAAAGGGGCAACCTACAAGCAAAGCCGCAGGAAAATTCTGTGCAGCCGGGAATCTAGGAAACCGCAAATGTCTCCACCTTAGGACAGGAGTCTTTCCACCTAAACCCCTTACAGCACCAGAAGTCCATTCCTCCGGGCGCAGGCGTAGCTAGACCTGCCTAGAAACCTAAGGTACTCGCTTTGCGGAGCAGTCAAAATCAGGGCTGTGAAGAAAGACGGCTCTCGGGCCTTTCTGGAAATGTGTTCGCTGGCAGAAGGAGCTACGAGATAGCTGGAGGAGCGAAGCCCTTTGCAAGAACCGAGTCTGAGCCGCTTTGGGCCAGCGCCGGGTGCCGGCGGGGAGCCTG